CAAGCTGCTGTGTAAGCTGCTACTACAAGCTGCTGTGTAAGCTGCTACTACAAGCTGCTATGTAAGCTGCTACGCAAGCTGCTGTGTAAGCTGCTACTGCAAGCTGCTACTGCAAGCTGCTGTGGATAATCTTTTACTGAGAGCAATGTTTATCCATAACGGAGTACTGAATGGATAAGCTTATTATACCCGGTATAGATAATCTTCTACCTAGGGTAATGTTTATCCATAACGGAGTACTGAATGGATAAGCTTATTATACCCGGTATAGATAATCTTCTACCTAGGGTAATGTTTATCCATAACCGGGTACCGAAGTGATAAGCTTATTCAGGAAGCTTATTTCCAATAGAGTACTAAATGGATAAACATATTTACGGTGGAGTCTCATATGAATAAGCTTCTTCAGGAAGATTATTTACAACGGAGTACTAAATAAACATCCATAATATAATATAATTATAACATAATAACCTTTATCGTAAAAGTGTTTGTTTAAATTACTCCTTGTCTCTCCTTAAACAGTCTCATCTAGTTAATACTTCCACTATTTTAGAATACAAAGATCGAGTATGTCCTAAAGAAAATAACAGTCACTCAGTCCCAACTTATGTATTGCACTTAAAGATCATTTCGAGAGTCAAACGAATTTATTTTATCATAATCTTTTTATATGCTTTTTTATATTCTAAATTATTAATTATTTTTATTTATAGTATTTTTAATATAATTTTTATTTCAAAAACTTAAAAGTTTTTATATTCAAATTCACAATCAATATTAAAAATTTGACTTTAAAATGTGAATGGCATCACATAAATTGGGACGAAGGAAGTAATAAATGAATAGGTGTTTGGTAAAACACTTCTGCATGTAGGGCATTTAATACTTAGAAATTACCTCCCCTTTAGATTATAGTAATTCAATTTTTATCTTTGAATGAAGTTAGATAGTTCCGATTACTCTAATCTACTTGACTGAAAAATACAGCTTGTCTTGGAAAAAAGAAAAAGTACAGATTGAGGAGAAGAGTTAAAGAAGGCCACAACAAATAAAGTGCAAACTTTTTTTTCTATAGCAATTTGCAATTTGTCTTTATTTAGCACCAGAAAGTCAATTTGTTTGCTGTTGAGAGCTGGAAAAGGTAAAGCAAAATAAAAACTAGAAAGAAAAGGTTGTTTCAAGTCACACTGCTGTTGATTTTGATGTGTAGCTACAAGCAATAACTTCTTAATTATCCTCTTACCTGTCTATATTTAGTTTATTATATGTCAACAAAGAATTATAAATAGATTATATCTATTACACGAGAACAAAATGTGAGACCCCTAAAATTTTTGANAGATATAGATATAGATATTGATACAAATATACATATAAATTTAAATATATATATATATATATATATATACAAAAAATATATAACTTTTATATATGTTTGCGGCTACCCAATGTAAATAGTTTTGATCGCAGGCTAATAATGATCTTTGCCTAGATTTTCGGGCCAAGTGCACCAACCGTTATTTTTAGGGATGCTATTTAGTGATTAGCTAGTACTTATTTTGTCCCGAAATTTTAAATTAAAAATCTTAACTTCAGGACAACTCAGAATATTTTTGTCCTGAAAAATTAAATAAAAAATAAATAAAATTCTGAATACACTGGCTAATTCCTAATTAGTAGACTTTAGAATATGACTACTTGGTGTCATTTCTACTAGATTTTCTTGTCGATCGACATTGAAAATATTGAAGTATACCCGACTTGAAAGATACTCTAGAGGGAATTTTGGTATACTAATAACTAATTATCATAGAATTTCAACTAGCTACTTAAAAATATTTTTAAATGAAATGATCAGACAGAAGAAAAAAAAGTGGATATAAAAGTGTCTTCACATGAAAAAGATGGATAATAATATTTTGAAATTATTGAAAACTAGTTAAGCACATCTTAAACCAAAGTTTTGAATTTTGATAACCCAAATTAAACTTGTTCGGCCTTATCAAATGTGCAGAAATATCCATAAGTATTATGTATACTCAAAGCGCCAAAAAGTATTTATTATATAAACTCAATAATGTAGCATAATAGAAAAGCTTTTGTGTGCTGGCTATTAGTTACAAAAATGGTAAATTCAAAATATTTAGGAAAAATGACATTGTATAATTGCTCTCAAAATACTAATGCATTAGGGCAGGATGTCTCATGTCTATATTACACCCCTTGGAGTGTTGCCTTACCTGGACCCTGCGTAAAGGCGGGATGTCTTGTACACCGGGCAGCCTTTGATAGTCACTCTCAAAATAATAACCGAAAAAATATATATTTTTGTATATACACATTTCTCTATGTTATATACAAAAAAATATATAATTTTATATGTTTTTTCGCGGCTATCAAATGTATATAATTTTTGTCGCTGGCTAAATATTATGCTAAGTTAAGTGAGGCTATTTAAGAAGCTTTGGTTGTTAAATTTAAGAAATTAAGAAGCTAGTATCTTAGCTGACAACCATCAATAATCAAAATGTGAATTTAACTTATTTAAGCATTAACAGAAGCCTTAAATTTAACACACAAAATTAATTATATTGTGCGAACCAAACTTTATTATAATCCACTATCCAGTCCATTGTGCTGCAAAAATAGCTGGCAAATTCAACCATTCCCAATAAAAGAAATTCGGAATTCTAGACTTTAATGCAAACTGAAATAAAAGGCTACTTCTCTACCGTTACGTACAACTTTTAGGCAGACAAAAATTATTTTTTCTTCTTTTAACATAGGCGGATAAAACTAAATTTCTGCACGAAATATTGAATTCTATGGACCAAAAGAACAATTATTTTTAGACGAAATTAACTTTGACATAGTTGTATGAAATCAAATGGTATTGTGAGATCAAGATCGAAACTTGCATTGTTTTCTTATGAATAGAGATAAACTGATATTAAAGAAAACACGTTCTCATAATTATGTATGCATCTCAACTCTGAATGTGGAAAACTGGTAGTAGTTGAAGCAATTTAATGCACATCATTAATGTAAGAGCAAGGCACTGAAGTTTTACTGCAAGAAAATGCAAGTATATAAAGCCCTTTACTTCTTAATGCCATTTGCTCAAATCAGTTGTCAGAAAACTGAAAAAGGTCACGCAATTCAAAATTATTCCTTGAAGATGATAGGCCGGGGATTGAGGGTGGGGGTGTTAGCATTGCTTTGTTTTCATGTCCTTGTAGGGAGTGTGGTTCTCGCTAGAAATTTGAAAATTGAGGATGAGAAGTTTTTGTTTAAGGGAGGAGGATTTGGTGGTGGTTTTGGCACTGGTGGAGGTGTTGGAGGTGGATTTGGTGGTGGGGGTGGTGGAGGTTTTGGTGGTGGTGATGGAGGTGGTATTGGTGGTGGAGCTGGTGGTGGGTTCGGAAAGGGTGGTGGAATAGGTGGTGGAATTGGGGGCGGTGCAGGAGGCGGGGGTGGTATAGGTGGAGGCATTGGTAAAGGTGGTGGTATTGGAGGCGGTATTGGTGGTGGTGCAGGAGGCGGTATTGGTGGAGGAGCTGGAGGTGGCAAAGGAGGAGGAATTGGCGGTGGCGCTGGTGCAGGTGGAGGATATGGAAAAGGTGGTGGCATAGGAGGAGGTGCGGGTGGAGGGAAAGGTGGCGGAGTTGGTGGCGGAGTTGGAGGAGGAGCTGGTGGTGGAGTAGGAGGAGGAATTGGAAAGGGTGGAGGTATTGGAGGTGGTGCAGGAGGAGGAATAGGAAAGGGTGGTGGCATTGGTGGAGGAGTCGGTGGTGGTGCTGGAGGTGGAATCGGAAAAGGTGGTGGCGTTGGAGGTGGTATAGGCAAAGGTGGCGGCATTGGTGGAGGAGCTGGAGGTGGAGTCGGTGGTGGTGTTGGAGGTGGAATTGGAAAAGGTGGGGGAATTGGCGGTGGTATTGGCAAAGGTGGTGGTGTTGGTGGCGGCATTGGCGGGGGAGCTGGTGGTGGTGTTGGAGGTGGTATTGGCAAGGGTGGTGGCATTGGAGGCGGAATCGGTAAAGGTGGCGGCATAGGTGGAGGAATAGGCGGTGGCGTTGGTGGAGGTGCTGGAGGAGGAATTGGCAAGGGTGGTGGCTTTGGCGGAGGAATTGGTGGCGGTGCAGGAGGAGGAGTTGGTGGAGGTGCCGGTGGTGGTTTAGGTGGAGGATTTGGTAAGGGTGGCGGCATTGGTGGAGGATTTGGTGGTGGTGCGGGAGGAGGAGTTGGTGGTGGCATTGGAGGAGGTGCCGGAGGTGGATTTGGAGGCGGATTTGGGGGAGGAGGTGGTTTAGGTGGAGGAGCTGGAGGTGGTTTTGGTGGAGGAGGTGGTGGTGGTAGTGGAATTGGAGGATATCACTAAACATCCTCTTGTTAATGAATTTAAACACAGAGTTAAGCATGTATACCATTGCTATTGTCATTAAATTTTCGAAATTATTATTCATGAGTATTATATGAAATGAAATCAAATTTCTTCTTCTATTCGTTAATAATATGCTTACATGCAACATTCTCTTCCTTTATCATGCACGTCAACCTCTATCGATGCATGGAACTGAAATACATGTTGCTTTATGTGCAAGACACACTGGGACCAAAATGAATAGGAGTATTATAAAACAGAAAACTTATTATGTTCAAATTTCAACAGCTTTGGTTGTTTTTCCCTTTTTTTGATAAGTGTGGAAGGGGGAGTACTGGACTAGAGTAGTTCAAATTCTTATCTAATTGGCACAATATTTCGATGTTGTCTCTTTTGCAAATTGCACTAGAAGGCAATAAATTTATCATTTCATTGGGAATATTGCTACTAAGTTTAAGTGCTGCTGTTTAATGGAGGGATATTACTTAAATCTCTTGCATTAATATATGACGTGACGGATATTTCAAGATGGTGAACTCATATAATGGTGCTCCAAAAAGAAGACCTTTTCATTAAAATACAAACCAACAAAAAATAATTAATATGCACAAGTTGGATTAGATCATAAAATTCAGGGGATTTAACTCTAAGCCGTTTCATTCTGAAATTTTGCCTACGCAATGCACACGTCGAATTGGGTCATCAACTCTCTCATCAGTCCAATAAAAAGAGGAATGAGAGACCTGAAATTTTGGAGTGGCCACAAACTTGGTGTACCCTTCGTCTTTAGACACTTGTTGTGTTTCAAACTGAATTTATAATCCGACAGGGGACAGTAAATACACAAAAAAGAATAAACCAGATTGTCTTGTAGACGGGGGCGGACACACATAATGAAGTGGTGTCATGGGACACTACTTTGTCAGAAAATTTTACTAAATATATATGTTAATATTGTGAAAAAACGAATAAGTAGAAAAAATGACACTATTGTCACAAATTGTTTCTTGTCTTGTCGGTTATGTGTTGATTTTATTCTAAGGATCAGAGGTTCAAACCTCGTCTAGTATGTATTTTTGGCAAATATTTGAGAGAGCTTCTGTGATTAAAAACGTGATTAAACAGAATTGAATTGATGACCTCTTCTAATTTAAGACTCAACAATATCAATAAATTAAAGTTATTTGTTCTTGTCTAAAAGTATAATAATTAAAGTTATTTATTCTCGTTTTTTTATAAATTTCGACAGCACTTATAAAAATTCTTGCATGGAAAGAATAAAGTTCAAGTTGATATGGCTTTTCAAACAGCTGCTCTTTGTATTTTTCCTCGTTAAGGAATATGTATGATGTTCAGATTGATGTACTGATTTTCTTGGAAAGCTTTAGATTTTTTGCAAAGGAATATACAAAGGAAACTGACTCGTTTTATCTCCCGCTTGGTTTCACTTCAAATCAGAGGCGGAAGTATGGGAGTCACTGGTCCCGGTAATTTCAAAAAAAAAAAAGGTATGGTATATATCTTAAATAAAAAATTATATATTTTCATTATCATCCTAAAACTCAAAGTTTAGACAACTGTATTGGTTAATTTGAGGGTGCACAATTTGACTTTAAGTGCGTTGTGTTGCTACTTTGCCTGTATTTGTAAAATAATGATTATGGAAATTAAAACGTTAGCTTATTAACGTAAATATAAATGATATAAATGAAACACAAATCAATTCGAGCCCACTGAATTCACAGTGTTTCCTTAAGAAATTTAATCCCCTCCTAGTACCCAAGGTTATGGATTATTTCCTCCCAGGATAGAACGAATTACACACTGGTGTAGCGGTACTTCATACCCCAATGTTTCAGCGAACACAAAGTTCGGCAGCAAATCACACTTGATGTTGCTTTCTTAGTAGTTTAAAACAATGCAGAACAAGGGAGGAGAAGTCAGAAATTCGTATAGAAAATCTGAGAGGAAGGAGTGCAAAGTATAGCTAACGTTGAGTTTTCGGTGAAGAGAAGTTCAATTTCTCTCAAGTTTTCAGTGTGTCTTCAACAGGCTACTTGCACCCTCTATTTATAGTGCAATTAGCTGCTAAAAATGGACCCGCTGCCACTCATGAAGTGGAGCACTTGGCCATGGTGGACAGAGCACCAGGCTGTTTACTAATGGAGCAATCAATATGGCGATGGTGGTTGGAGCACTACTCATGGTGGAATGAGCACTTGCTCATTAATATTCACGGATTGAAAAACATCCGTTACAAACACGGATAATATTACGTTAATATTCACTGTTAACAAATAAATTTGGTCCAAAAAATTAATCAATCAATCGATCATTTGACCAAATCAAAATCAAAATCCGAAGCCGAAGCCGAAGCCGAAGCCGAAGCCGAGCGAGCGAGGNTAAAGAAATCTAATACATTATTAAAAAAATTCTTAACTAAACGCACAAATATTTAAACTCTAAGACACACAATTAAAAAATACGAATAAATTACGTTTATATATTATTGGTAATTGTCCAATTTAAGTATATCATGTGTACATCTTCAAATAAAAAAAGAATAATATGCATATCTTCAAAAAGTATAAATAGATCTTATAAGTATCTTTTGACATTTTTCTAATGCAAGATATATCATTTGTAGATCTTTAGTTATAAGAATATTTGATGTGCATATGTTCATGGAAGAGACTGCTATCCTTAAGATAATATATAGAGCTGTTATAAGTTGTACATTAAAGTTATAAAATATTTTCTTAAATATTTAGAATTATTATTAGTAATAATCTTAGAAAATCTATATGGTTGTTATAGATATCGAAGGGTAATTTTACAAAGAACGTACTGTCATAAAAATGGTTGTTGTTATTATAGGCAGAATGCTGTTATAGAGAAGTAAAATATAATATAAAAATCGATTTTGAGAAAAACTAGGCTTTTATAATGCATGATTATATATAAAAATGATGTTATAGAGATATCTGACTGTATTTGTTATTGTAATTTAATTATTCCTTAATTTGAGATAGCGTATTGCTTGGTTTTGTGTTGACTGTTACTATGAAAATCTTCATTTTTTGTTATGTTTTGGATTGACCAAAAATAAGAAAGACATGAAGGAACAAGTGACGCATTTGAAACGCCATTTTTACTGGTGAAGTGACTAATTATTTAAACTTCTTCAGATTTCATGCCTGCTATCTAGAACATCTTTTCCAACTATTATTTTGTCACAATCCGAAATTTCCACCTTTGGGATTGTGATGACGCCTAATACTTTATTTGCTAGACAAGCTAACGTTGGCCATATCTATTAACTATTTATAATAATTTACCAAATTAAATAATAAGAATGAAACTGAATAGTCTACAATAATTAGGAAATAAGCTAATAAGTGACAAAGTCCGAATACAACCCTAGAACTGGTGTCACGAATACATGAGCGTCTAAGATACTACAGATAGTGATCTGAAATAAATACAATTGTCTGAAATCAAAGTAAACAGCTAAAGAAAATAGAAGAGGACTTCAGGGCTGCAAATGTCGTGCAACTATACCTCAAGTTTCCTCTGGGTAGCTGGATCTGAGCAAGTCTACTGAGCGCCAATGGGACCAACTCTGGTATATGTACAAGAAGTGCAGAGTGTAACATGAGTACAACCGACCCCATGTACTCTATAAGTGCCGAGCCTAACCTTGACGAAGTAGTGACGAGGCTAAGGCCGGTCACTTATATTAACATGTACGCAACAGTAATAATAATAGCAGGAAAGACATGAATGGAAGTAAAGCAGTTAATTCATAACAACAAATTCAAATCCAACTAACAGAGAGTCCAGAATAACGAATCATATAATCTCTTCTAGATTACCGAGGCAAATCCAACAACCATGAACAAATATAATTGTAATCAACCTGTTGCGGCGTACAACCCAATCCCACAATATCAACCTTAAACAATCAGTTGCAGCGCACAATCCGATCTCACCACATCATTATCTGTCAATATCACAATCTGTCCTTATTCCGCCTTTTCAATTCATTATCTTTCAATTTTCGTTGTGGCGTGTAACTCAATCCCTAAACAGATTCAATCAATAATGGCAATTCAACAGCCAAGGTTTTACAAGAAGTTCTACATCAAGAGAACAAATGTACGAGCGAAGGAGAATAATATGATAATCAAAGAATCTCGAACAACTCAGATGTCTCAACCTTACCAACTTAACAGTATCTACCAATTTACAATTCATACAAATGAAACTACATTAGTGAAGGCAACAAATGATACGAAACTATACGGCAAACAAGGCATAGGACAACTTGGATATACGAGAATGCAAATAAAGACAAGTAGTAAATAAGTATGGATTTAGGGAAGGAATGGATAGTTTAATACAAGGAATACTAAATGGCAAGTGAAAAATATGGCATGGAAGTCAAATAAGCATGTAGCAATTAAGGCATGAAACAAGAAATACTATGAAATAACAAAATGGGGAAAACGATTAATGTAAGAGCGCCATAGACACTCGTCACCTCGCATATACACAGTTTCACACATAATTCACACAACATGTAGTTCAAGGGTTCCTAATTCCTTCAAATCAAGGTTAGACCCAACACTTACCTCACTCCGCAATCAATTCAAAGCTCTACCATTGACTTGTCTTTTGACCTCCAAACCAACAAAATCTAGCAAATTATTGACCAATGATTCAAAATAAGCTTTAGAAACTACCACGAATGAAAGAAATTCAATTTAGATCATTTTTGAAAAAAGTCAACAAAAGTCAACCCCAGGTCCGCTTGGCCAAAATCGAGATTCAAACCAAAACCCGATTAACCATTTACAGCCGAGCCGGGTTATGTAATTTGTTTCGTATTTCGACCTCAATTCGAGGTCTAAATTTCAAATTTACAAAAATCTCTAATTCTATCAAAATCCCTAATTTTTACTATGAAAATCCTAATTTTGATGTTGAAATCCTATGAAATGTAATGGGTAATTGAAAAGAAATAGGTTAAAGTCACTTATCAATGAATTTAGGAAGAAAATCTCTTGGAAAATTGCTTCTAGGGTGTTTAGGGTTGAGAAAATGTGAGAAATGACTTAAGTCCCGTTTTTTCACTCTTTTACCCAACTGTGGATGCC